TAGTAGAGACGGGGTTTCACCATGTTGACCAGGATGGTCTCGATCTCTTGACCTCGTGATCCACCCGCCTCGGCCTCCCAAAGTGCTGGGATTACAGGCTTGAGCCACCACGCCCGGCCTACAGGCATTTTTTTTTAACTGCACTGCCTTCTGTTAATCTAAACAGATGTAATCAAATTATTTGATTAATCAGAAAATAACTCTAGTTTATAGATTGGCACTATAGATTTCTTTTCATTAGCATATCCCATTCAAAACTTACAAGGACTAGAAGAAGATAGGCATCAAACAGATTTTACTACTTTTAAAAATATTCTAGGAAGGCACTAAAAGACTTGACTGACGCGTAAAATGAAATGAAGTGTTCAAATATGATCTCTCTATTGCCTTTGGTTGAGCATAAGTAAAAGTCAAATGTGTCATAATAGCTGCAGGGTGGGACAAATGATTATGAATTGAAGTTTTCAAGAGATTACGATGATTCAGATGATGTTTTTTACTATGAGTCCCTCCCTGGTAGGTGTGGGTCGTATTTGGAAACACGTTATGGTGCTTATCGCATTTATTTTTATTTGCAGAATGAGGATAAGATGAGAAAATCCTTCAATCAGCAGTTAGCTGACGCCATCGCTGTTATCAAAGGAATGTACCAGGTGAGTTTTTGGTTTTGGTGGTGTCGCTGTGGGCAAGGCTAGTTTCAGCTGTCGTGTGCAGAGTGGGGATCACCTTGGCTTCCCAGTCTTGTTTCCAGTTTTGAAGGCCTGTTTCCTCAATTCAGGTCACCTTAGAGGGATCAGGCCTAGGACTGTTTATGCTCACATTATAACGCTTTCCAGAAACTGGAAAATTCTAATCTGGTATTCAGGACACCTGGGCATGTACCAAAGTAATCCAAAGTTTATTTGGTGGGCATAGCTGAATAGATGAAGGTCAGATGATCCTAAGAGAGATTAAGAGAATCTGTAGTAAATTCCAGTGAACGGTCTCTGACCCTTGGTGGATTAACTTTTCTAAGGACAGGAACATTTCTGTCTTCCGAACACATACTTCATTCTCCTTCACAGTGGGAAAATTCCTACTTTTTGTTGCTTTTCTTAGACTCAGCAAAGATCTTGTGCTTCTTTTAGCATTTATAATCATATTCTCACCTTGCATTTCAATATACTTCCATAAATAAATTTTTTGCATACTTCTTTTTGGGCACTGTTTGCAAGCTTCTTTTCATAGCACACAACACATTTGTATTTAATTATGTAATTGCTTGCGAAGCGTCTGTGTTGCATGCCAGACTGTCAACCTTAAGATGTCCTGGGTGTTACTCTCTGCTGTGGCCCTTCCTTTAGCGCTGTGCCTGGTACATAATTAACAACCAGCTACTGATTGCTAAATGTATGAGTGGTCACCTGTACCTGTGGCAGACAGTGGTGCTGCCTGCTCAAATGTCATTTTCCTCACTGCTTTTTACTCACAGGGGCGCTTCCAACTATAGAAGCCAAAATTCTTCCCCTTCCAGCTGCCTTTTCAGCTATCGCACAGGCATAGGCAAAGTCAGGTCCCTAGCCAATGAGACTAAAGGTGAGCTGGCTGTGAGATTTTGGGTGAGGTTGTTCTTCCTAAGTAAAAGGGACTCATGAAGGTATCACCTCACACCAGTCAGAATGATTACTATTAAAAAGTCAAAAATAAATAAATAAATAACAGATGCTGGTGAGGTCACAGAGTAAAGGGAACACTGGCTTATATGCTGCTGATGGGAGTGTAAGTTAGTTCAGCCACTGTGGAAAGCAATCTGGAGATTTCTCAAAGAAGTTAAAACAGAGCTACCATTTGACCAAGCAATTCCTTTGCTGGATATATATCCAAAGAAAGATAAATCATTCTACCATAAAGACACATGCATGTGTATGTTCATTGCAGCACTCTTCACAATAGCAGAGACATGAAATCAACCTAGATGACCAGCAACGGTAGACTGGTTAAAAAAATGTGGTACATATACACCATGGAATATTATGCAGCCATAATAAAGAATAAAATCATGTCCTTTGCAGCAACATGGATTGAGCTGGAGGCCACTATCCTAAGCAAATTAATACAGGAACTGAAAACCAAACACTGCATGTTCTTACTTCTAAGTGGGAGCTAAACATTGAGTACACATGGACACAAAGAAGGGAACAAGAGACATGGGGCCTCCTTGAGGCTGGAGAGTGTGAGGAGAGTGAGGATCAAAAAACTACCTATCAAGTATTATGCTTATTACCTAGGTGACAAAATAATCTGTATACCAAACCCCTGTGACATGCAATTTACCCATGTCACAAACCTGCACATGTACCCTCTGAACCTAAAACAAAGTTGGAAAGGGAAAAAAAGGGTCTTATGGAAAACCCTTTCTTTTTTTTGCGTGACATTTTATGTCTCCTTCTGATGCTTGGAATTGCTGTGGACATTGTGAAACCAAAGACTGAGATCTTCTGGATGTGCTGAGGTAGCAAGGTGGAAAGATGAGAAGCAGGTTATGCTACCTCCACAAAATGAATTGGGGAATGTTAGCTCCATTTTGTTTACTAGAAACATTTGTATAATCTTGGAAGTATTTCTTCCTTAAATATTTAGAACTGCCAGGGGAGCAAGCGTGGGCCTGGAGGGACTGATTGATTGATAGCAGCCATTTCTTGTTCTTAATTATTATGAGTAACCCTGGACTTGCCCTGCCTCTGGCCTGTTATTTATGAGATAACAACCCCTGAGTGTCTAAGTCACTGTTAGCTGGCTTTTCAGTTACTTGGAGCTGAAGATATCCCAGGACTGATTGCTCTGCTGACAATCTCTGTGACTCTATGCCAAATTGTGTTTCCAAAGGTACATGTGACACTGTCTCCTACTTACCTGCTCTTGTGCAACGTCACCTCACTTCTCTCCCATTGAGAGGTGGAGTCTGATTTCCCTCCCTTGAATCAGGGCTGGACTTAGTGACTTGCTGATAAGACTTCTAAGTCAAGGTCAAAAGGAGTCACAGATTGGAGTGAGAACTTATGGTGCTTTTTTCAGGCCCACCCATGGCCTCCCATTGACCAATCAGCATACACTTCCTTCCCTTTGAAGCTCATGAAAACCCTAGACTCAGCCAGACTCTGGTAGAGGTTGGAATGACCTGCCTGCAGAGAGGAGCTAGTCACTGTGCATCTCCTGTCAGCTGAGAGCTGAACATGTATCAGGATGACCTGCCTGCAGAAAGGAGTTACCCACTTCAAGTCTTCTGAGAGCTGTACTGTTGTTCAATAAAGTACCTCTTTGCCTTACTCACTCTTCAGTTGTCTGCATACCTCATTCTTCCTGGATATGGGACAAGAACTCGGAGCCCGCCAAATGGTTGGACTGAAACGCACCTCTTGCTCAACCACGTTGCAGTCAACAAGAAGAAGAGAAGAGCTGTAGCCCTTTGAGGAGCCCAGACCCTAGGAGCTTCCTGAGCCAAGGTTGTGGTAGCCTCTTTGGGGCTCTGAGGTTCCTGGTGTCTCCAAGTTTCCAGGCGCCACTGTGTTCCCCAGTGCCAGCAGTGGAAGTCACCTGTGGTATACCTGGTCCAGGTGCAGCCTTGCAGGGAGCTGACACCCTTGCCGGTGCCTAGAGCTGCCCACCCCACTGCAGCTGGCATGCCTAGCTGTGTGTAGTAGCCAGGCCCCATGCTCACTCATGTACCCCTTGTTGCTCTGTGCCTGGCTTGCCCTTGGCACACTTGGGATCCAGGCTGCTAGCATGAGCCAAGCACAGCCTTCCAGGCCAAACAGGTGGAACGAGCCCAGGAGGCCCGAGCAAAACTCAGGCAAAAGCGCCACCGACCACAGAGGTTTCTGGCTGGCAAAGCAACACCCCAAAGATCCCGTGATGGCATTGGTGGCACATGCTTGTAGTCCTAGGTACTGAGGAGGCTGAGGTAGGAGGACCCTTTGAACCCAGGAGTCTGGGGTTAGCAGTGAGGGATGATCATGCTACTGTACTCCAGCCTGAGGGGCGGCATGACCTTGTCTCTAAAATAAAAAAAAGATGCATTTAATCTGTCTTATCCAAAATTCTTGTTTACAATGAGAGAATAAGAATTTTGTGGTTTTTAAAAACATGCTTTGGGACAGGCATGATGGCTCATGCATGTAATCCTAGCACTGTGGGAGGCAGAAGTGGGAGGCAGAAGTGGGCGGATTGCTTGAGCCCAGGAGTTTGAGACCAGCCTGGGCAACATGGTGAGACCCGGCCTCAAAAAATGCAAAATGATTAGCTGGGCATGGTGGCCTGCACCTATGGTCCCAGCTACTCGGGAGGCTGATGTGGGAGTATTTCTTGAGCATGGGAAGTTAAGGCTGCAGTGAGCCATGATCACACCAGTGCACTCCAGCCTGGGTGACAGAGTGAGACCCTGTCTCAAAATAAACAAAAAAATAAAACAAAATTTAAAAACACATGCTTTCTGAAAGTTCTTTGTGTCTTCCACAATTTCTGGGACATTGATCTATTTCTAATGTCTATCAAATGTTCAAAAATAAAGCTGAATAATGAATATCACTCTTTGTCCATATGTCTTATATTTATAGGTATAGAAAGTCATGAAAGGATTAAATTCTTCATATTCATCAGTTTTTCATAAATACTTGTTGGTTAAATATGCTTAATTGTGGTTAGTTGACTTATGAAAAAATTCTTTATATGAAATTAAAGCCATTGTTGGAATCCTTGCCTTGGCTTGTTGGCAACACTTGGATCCATGACCTCAGACAGCCTTCCTAATCCTGGCCACCCAGTTTGCTAAGGCTTAGTCACAAGGAGGAACAGAGGAAAGTTGAAAATATACCAAACTGCTGTATACACTTTGTAGCATGACAAATATAAATGACTCTCTGCTGCCCTCTGGAGACCAGTTAAGGGCACAAGTACCTGCACTTTTTTTTTTTTTTTCTGCTGTGAACAAGTTTCTAAATCTATTTAACTTTTACTTCTAGTCAATCGAATACAGCAAAGGTGAAGAGTTATATGTGATTATGTTACATAAAAGGGTAGCATCTGTCTTGCTAGAGTCTTTTTCTCTGTTGGCTTGGAGGGAGTGAGAGGCTATGTTGGGGAAGCTCATGAGGCAAAGAACTGAGTGTAGCCACAACTGATAGCAAGAAACTGAAGCCTCCAGTCCTATAGCTGCAAAAAGTGGATTCTTCTACAACTGGAGTGAGCTTGGAAGCAGACCCTTCCACAGTTGTGCTTTGGATGAGATCACAGCCCTGAATGCCACTTTAATTGCAGCCTTGGGAGACCCTAAGCAGAGAACCTACTTGAATTCCTGACCAACAGAAACTGTGAGATAATAAGTGTGTGTGTGTGCGTGTGTGTGTGAGAATTTAATTTTCTTTTCTCTTTCATTAGAGACAGGGTCTCACTATGTTGCCCAGGCTGTTCTCAAACTCCTGACCTCAAGTGCTTCTCCACCTCAGCCTCCCAAGGTGCTGGGATTATAGGTGTGAGCCACTATGCCTGGCCAAGCATGTGTGTTTTAAGCCACTACATTTGGGGCGAAACCTTTATGCAGCAATAGAAAACAAATTCATCCTTCATATTTAGTGAGCCATTGAATCCTACCAGTTTTTTGTTGTTGTTGTTGTTGTTT